TATATATATAAATACAATTAGGAATAGTACAACATTGAGTTCTGCCTCTTCCATTGTTTTCGTGTTTTCCATGTATTTACTACAGATGGACGTCATGCAGAGGAAAGTGGATCCAAGTCCAGAACACGGAGTCGACGCAGTCCAGACAAAAGTTCCCGTAGTCCCTTGAGGAATAGCACTCTGGACAGCAACGCCAGGAAACTCAGTGCAGTGGAGTTCAGAGAACCACTCGTTTCATACAGGTTAAAGCTGCAAAGAATTAATACGTTAAAGCAGAAGTGTTTATTTGCAACCAGAAACTGCAATAATAATGATTATAGGTTTTTTTCTTGGAAATCCTCTTATGCTCTTCACTTTAAACTGACATTTTATTTTTAAACTGACTTGTCTTTTTTGTTGTTGTTTTTAATATAGGGAAGCATCTCCGCTGCCAGTGTCCCAGGCTCACTCTGAACCAGAAGTCCATTTGTTACCGACAGAGGTGGGCTTCCCTCAGGCTGACTTTGCTCTAAGCCAGCTGGTTTATCAGCGTGACACCCGAGACATGCAGACTGCAGACCTGGACACCCCACATTCCTCAGCTGTAGACAGCACATCTGTACGCTACCTCAATGACCTGTCTGCTCTCAACGCCATTCACCAACCTGACCAAGCCCCACTAGGTTCAGAGGTCATCCCCAGAACACATTTACAGGCCGAGACATCCCAGACTTCCCTGACATCCATCACCGGTTCAGTCACAGCTTCCATAAGGCTGGAGAACATGCGGCGTCGGCAACCTGATGAAAAGCTAGAAAAGCTGAAAGAGAGAATCCGCAGACAGAGGGAACATTTGGAGGAGACAGAAGAAAGAAACAAGCTGCTGGGATACTTGGAGCAACCTGTGGGTATTGGAGCGGCAGCACATAGTACCACAGTACCTACTGCTAAAGTTCGGAAAGTGGCCCCAGCCCCTCCAGCGCCCATTTACAAAGGTAAGTTGACTACAGAGAGGAAAGGTAGCAGATTCAAATAGGGCTGTGACGGTCGCCGTGACGCGTGGTCGCTTGACACCGCGGTTGTCTACTGCCACCGGCGATAGTGCACGTGACGTCACGCACTCTTTAACAAGCATAATACGAAGTTTTGTATACAAGAGTAATAACAGTAGCGGAGCAGTGAACCGTGTCTACACTGGACGCGACACCACCGCGTCGCAACAGGTTGAGTCTGTCTAGTGTCTACACAGGACATTTGAACTCTGTGTCAGTACCTCATAAATAGAACGAGGCAGTTTACTGTCGGGGATTTGTCATGTCGTGCTGCATTCAGTGTAGCATCACTGATTATAATGAGTTTTATAGTATTTTGTCGCGCCGCGTCCTGTAGACAGGGTGTATTTAACTTTTTTATTTAGGCTACTTTTTTGTTTAACTGTATTATTTCTTTGATATTTATTTTAGTGTTTTGCAGGCTGCGTATTCACTGACTGAAGTGCTAAAATAAACACGAGCTGACGAGTTAAATCGGGTGCTTTGATATGAAAGGATACAGGCTACAGCGCGCCGGCGCCTTTGTGTGTGCAATTGAAGAGCCTGCCACCATCACAGCCCTAGATTCAAACCCCGAAAGGGCTTTCACCATTGAGCTTGAGCGAGGCACTTAACCATAGGTTGCGCCGTCCCAGTAATAGCTGTACTCGAAAATACTTAGGATAAATGATTGTTTGGTTTTATGAGGTTGTCGAATGAGAGGAAGCTCACTTCTGTGTTTTCTCGTTTTTTAGGCTTCAACACCAGTGAGACTAAGATTCGCACACCTGATGGGAAAGTGTGGGCAGAGGAGGACTTCCAGAACTTAAGCAGGGAAATATACAAAGACCTGACAAAACAGCTTACAGGTATACATAGTTTTCCAGAATGTTATAATATGTAGTATAATATAATAAAAAAGTATACATTATTGTAATATCTTTATGTAAACATTACAAGAAGTACAGCAATACAACAACAGAGTAGCCACAGTATTTAGCCTGTGCTATAAGAAACATCACATTCACACTACGTGAGTGGTGTAATTAAGGTACTCAAAAAAATGTTACAGTATCTCGATCATACACAGTTCATTGGTTGTCATCTTAAGTCACTGATGCTATAAATATGTTTTACATTTGAGTCATCCTCTTGATTTCAGCCTAATTGCAGCGTAGTGAATTGTGCATTTATTTATTTATATGGAATTAAAATGTTTATCCATTTATGTGTTGGAGCTCAAATGTGTTTTACTGCCCTCTGACTCAGGAAGCATGAGTAATGAACAGGAATTAGGACAAAAACACTGTTTTACCTGCCACTCAAAGCAGATGAAACAACTTACAGAATTCATGTGTTTCTACCGGATTGAAGTATGGTCAAAAAGTATGCTTAATCCAAAGCGCTCTTGGACGATGACTTACATGCTCCTAATTGGCTCAGAGTTTCCAGGCGTACTGCCACAGCCGTAGTTACCAGTTTTCATGTCAGCCCAGACTGTTCTTAGGAGTTTTCTTCAAGGTTATTTGTAAGGATGGCATCAGTTAGCTTAACCATTCCTTAAAATAGCATTATGGAACAAGCTCATTTATAATATGCATAACAATGCTGCTTAATCCCTGTTGGCCTACTATAGATTTGAGTTGCTGTCATTAAAGAGGTCATATGGTACACATTTGTAGCAGTCCATTTTAGTTGTTTTATAATTATATAAGGATTCTTGCTTCACAGAAAAATCTAATTTTTGTTTTAGATGTCCATTTTCCATACTCAATCTGTTCCATATTTTGAATTGACATTAACAGATTAAAACGGGTAGTTTGAACGTATTTACGAGAATGAATCAATCATCCGTCTTAGGGTTGTGACGGTGAGGAAATTTTCCCACCGGTTAATCGACGTGTGACAACGTCTTAATGTGCTCATACCAACTAGATGTCAAATTAGTTTAATGATGGTCTTTAGGACACTTAAGGGCAATTACAAGTGTATTATATAATTTTGAAAATTCACAATATTTAATTTTATATTGTGAATATTCATTGAATCATTGAAGTTTTACCTGTTTTACTCTTATAACGGGCAATTTGATGAATACTGATTAGTTATTGATGTGTAAATATGGGCGGTCGTGTGGTCATTATGCATGGTTAAAGGGGTCATATGATGCGATTTCAAGTTTTCCTTTCTCTTTGGAGTGTTACAAGCTCTTGGTGCATAAAAATAATGATCTTTAAAATAGCATCATATGACCCCTTTAAGAGTGTAGTGTAATGAACAGCAGTGCAATTTTGGTATTATTTATAATATAGTTTTTATTTATATTTTGGATTAGCATTTAATTTTATGCTTAAGTTGTTTCATTTTAGGGTTTGATTGTGCTTTTGTGTTTTTATTTTATTCAAATATTACTATTTAGGTTTAACTTATTTTTATTTCAGTTTTAGTTTCATATATTTCCTCTTAGTAATTGTAGTACTTCAACTTAAACATTTTTCAGTTAGTTGCCAATGTAACATTTCTAATTTCTCATCTATCGTTGACATTTTATTTCAGTTTTATTTCAAATAAAATGTTTTTAATAGTTTCAGTTAATGATAATAATCCTGATCCTCAACCAATTTAATCTTCTCTCTCTGTCCTTCACAGCAGAGAGCACAAAACCAAAGCAGAGGCCTGTAGAGCGAGAAAAGGTGAAAGAGAAGAAACCATCCAAACCTGTTAGGAAAGTACACAGATCTTCCTCTGCACCGGACTCAAATACTAAACCAGGTCTGAGTTCTCTTTGTCATTTGTCATCCTGTCTTTTTTACACTCTGTGTGTTTCTCAAGCAAACAGCTGGAGCTTATTTAAGCAAATGATATTGAAATTCAACATCTGAATGCACATATAACAGTGCTTAATTGTAGTTTTGCATATGACGATCACAATCTGAACTGAAAATGTGCAAATGCTCTGCTGAACACACACACACATGCTGGCAGCCCTGTGTGAGCCTCTCTTGACCTGCCAGCGTTACTGTGCCCTGTTTTCTGCAAGACATTTTTGGAAACAGACGTGTGTGTTAATGTCCATCTGCAAGCACAAGCTAAGTCTCTTATCCCAACAGAAATTTCTAGAATGTGTAGCATGCAGATTAACAGGATAACTGCGGCAACAGTGACGCAGGAATGCTTGATGTGTCCCAGCTCAAACCGCTGTGGACTTGCTGACAGCTGGAGAGGTGTCAGTCTAGTCACGACAGGATGGAAAAGTGAAATCGGACTCCTTCCACCCTTCAACTAGTTTATCCTGTGCACCCCTAACTTCAGAAATAGTACTTAGTATTTCTCATGGTGTCTCTTAGTTTAACTCAGTTAAGAAGGTGTAAAACATAGGTTTGTATGTGAGTGCATATGCTTCTAGCTGCACAAACTATATTTTATTTGATGCATTCCAAATGTGTGCAATGCAAAAGACAATTCAAGTACACACTGAATTAATCTCAACATTGCTGCAAACAGACATTAACGTGAATTGACAGTTTGTGTCAATTGTCAGAGGGTGAGAAATGTATTACAATTTGATCTTGCTAACATTTTTGTTTTTTATATCATGCACAGATTAATCATGCACAGTAAGACCAGAATCATTTATTAAATACAGTCAATTTTACATTCCCGCTATCATTAAATGCGAGCGGGTGGTTTTCTCTGGAGAAAGATAATTTTTACCAGGAGGGTTGGATTAATTAAACATCTGTGTGAATGTGATTCAGTGCAGCTATTCTGTCTCTTTATTATTAGTTACTTTTGTCATACTTTCCTTTCTGCCTTAATCACACTTGTTTAAAAAAAAAAAAGTACAAGTTAATTATGGACCAACTGTAGTCTCAAGGTATCTGCGTAACCTGTCTCCATAGCAATCAGCACGTCATCGTGGCGAGATGGGCAGAAGCTGGTGAAGATGATGCTGGGGCCACCGCCACGGTTACACAGAGAGCCTCGAGTGAAGTCCTCGGAGACACAGATGAGAACAGGTGAGAGGATGATATATTTGCCAGGCTTCGCTCCCATCACCATGCTGACCGTTAAAGTTAAACCGAACCACAAACAAAACTTAAAATATCTATATTCATTTTGCCTTAAATGTCTCGAGCTATTTGGTTTTTGGCTTGTCATATTTTGAATGCCCAACCAAATTATGTCCTTGAGGTGTTTTGAATTAGTTTAGTTTATTGCCAACCGTTATTAAAGACTACATTTGTTGCAAAGCACTAGTGTTCCAGAAGCTAGTAGCCCAAGTGTCAGGTCTATTAATAAATAAAGATTCAGACAGTCTCCCCGCATTGGTAAACTTTGCTGCCCAGTGACCATAATGAATAGGGTTCGACTGGGTGTTTCTGATTCACTGCACAAGTCGACCTGATTCCTTCCACAGTACTGCTGTCCTCCACACACGCAGGGCTGGACCCAGACTTTATACAGCCACTCTGATACTGATTTATTGGACTGCAGAGACGGAAATGCTCAATGCTGTATTGATTTAAACATTATATGCAAGCAACTGCTGAAGGGGATGTTTTTCCAGTTCAGACATAAATACAAGGCCTGTGACGTAAAAGTGTTGTGTTTTGTTTGTCGACTTATTTATGTATTTTTTTAAATGCTCGATTTAAACACATATGTATTTTTTTTTTTTTACATTTAATCATTTAGCAGATAATTTTATCCGAAGCGACTTACAAATGAGGACAAAAGAAGCTCAGATCGTTCTCATAAGAGCACCTAGAAATTTGTTTTGCATTTTGCTCTGAAACCGGCAGTGCGTAGCCTCGATTTATGTTTTTTTCTTAGAATGGAAATATTATACAGTATTACAGTTTGTCGATCTAAAACGGTGATTGTGTATTAACAGCTGTCAACCATGTCGGTGCGCAAATGAGTGATCTAAAATTATTTACCCAGCACATTTTTTTTATTTTGGTCGTGCATGGTCACCTGCGCACCACTTATGCTCTATATATATATATATATATATATATATAATATATATGTGTATGTGTATATATATATATGTGTATGTGTATATATGTGTATGTGTATATATATATATATGTGTATATCAGTCTGGCGAGTAAACTAAAAAATTTTATATATATATAATATATGTGTGTGTGTATTTATTTATTTATATACATTAATAAACATTAAGTATATATATATTGTGGGAATTCATATAACTTCTTTCATGTTCTTGGCGTATTGAAATATTTGTAAAACAAAGTGTCAAATAATATAAATTTGGTTTCCTGTTTGCCTCTCTCCATCTTTTCCTGCAGGACCCGGTCCCCGTTCCAGCTCTGATCCTCGTCTTGAGCGTAGCCGGCGTTCAAGGCCCACTAGTGCAGAAAGACCTCGCAATCACGTTCTTCCAGAAGAGCCAGCTGGACCTTCCAGATCAACAGAGGGTGATAGAAGAAAATCTCCCAGCACAGACCTTCTCTCAGCAGACATCCGTGGCATCCTAGATGACCTGCAGCTGGAGGAGGACAGCAGCAGGAGGGCAGAAGCGCCCCGCTCGAAAGTCCATGCCTCAACCAGAGTTTCTCGTAGTGCCAGTCCTGCCAAGACTACCAAGAGAGCAGATCCTCCTGAGCATCCCATGGCAAAGAAGCGGCACTATGACGCAGAAGCGGTGCGACTGTATATTGCTCAAAAACAAGAAGAAAGGAAAAAACGGCAAGCAGAGGAGAGGAGGGCTCAGCGGGAGGAAGAAGAGAACAAGAATAAACGCCTACAGGAGCTTTACAGGAGACAACGAGCAGGGGCCACCAAGGGCCCAGTCACACCTGAAGGTCCAATAAAGAAGCGGCTCCAGGAAACATACACCAAACTTCTGCTGGAGCAGACTCAGCTCAGAGAAGAGATCAATGGCGGTGCCATAACAAACATAGTCCAGCAGGTAAACCTTTATTGAACAGCATTTTTGCAGTTAAACATCTTGTCGAACTTATTATTTAAGATAATACAGCTATTATATTTTATTATATTGTTAAATAAAAATGCTCAAATATTTTGAGTGGTTTTTGAGAAAAGTAATTATATTAAATTGACAGTTTTAAGGTACACCAGCAAGTTTGTCATCAGTCATTTTTTTTAAATTAAATTGATTGTGACAATAAAAGTGACAGTAAAGACATTTATAATGTTACAAAAGATTTCTGTTTCAAATAAAGGCTGTTCTTTTGAACTTTCTATTCATCAAAAAAATGTATCACAGTTTCCACAAATATATTAAGGAGCACAAATGTTTTCAACTTTAGTAATAATTAGTGGTTGACCGATATATCGCCTCGGCCGATATTTGGCATTTTTCAAATATCAGCATCAGCCGATAAGTTTTTCTGTTTGGCCGATGTGTTCGAGGCGGGACTTTTATTTTGACTGCGGCAGCGCCTGCGCACAGTGTTCACATTCTCCTTGTTTGCTGTTGTCATTAATAGATCTGTCTTAATACGGACAGAAATCTGTCTAATAATCAGAAAGAACTGTTAAACAAAATAATTAAAATGTATACAAAAATTATTATAACGATTGCTTTCATATTATTAGTGACAGAAAGGCAAACATCATAATACTTTCT